TGTTATTTTTTTCACAAAAAGCTAACATTCTGAAAGTTTGAAGAAATACCTTCCCTAGGGGATAACCGTGAATTGCAGATCGAATAATTTATAATAATAAACGCTATTTCTCTCTAGTTTTCACTAATTCTGCTAGTATTTCTACTAGTTTGTTCTAATACTGCTATTTTTTGCTAATTTTTCTAGTACGTCAAAAATATCGCATTCGTCAGATTGACAGCATGATCGAATAACTGAAATGTGTTTACGTAAATGTTTCAAGTTGACACTTTCAACGTGTATATTTGAAGCAGGCACTAGCGTATACGTTTTCAGTAAGAAATCTGTCATCAAATCTACATTTCCGATTGCAATTCGTAAATTGTAGTTAATACAGATGAAACGTGCTTGGTTACGTGCCATTGAATATATTTTTATTTAAAAATGAGAAAAAGCGTATTTAACTACATATTTTGATACATTTTAGTTCAACACTATTCAATTCATTTGTTTTGTGAATTTTATTTTAGTTAATTATTTCAATATATTCAAGAATAAATGCTTACTAAAGTATATACGTGTACAGTGCTAATTCTGCTATTTATTGCTAATTTTGCTATTTTCTTCATGTAAATTTCCCTATTTTTTTGCTAATGTGCTAATTCTAATTCGCATGGATATCCCCTAGTACCTTCCATACAAAATTTTCGTTTTTGAGCAAAAAATCCAAAATTTTGTTGGGGAGGTATCTCTATTATGCATTGAAATCTCTTCAAACCCTCGGAATGTTATTTTAGAGTGAAAAAAATAACCTGTGCAAAGTTTCAGCTCATTACGATATCATACAGGCATGGCTTCCATAAAAAAATCCAATGTTTTTCAAATTTTTGTATGAAAAGGGTGTCGAAATATTATTGTATCTCAAAACTAACGTCATATTCGGTTTTCTCGTACCCAAAAACCCCCCAATACATATTTTTGAGTGTTTAAGAATACATTAAATATCACTTTTGGAAGAAAAATTGAATTTTTCCCATGGATGGCCATGGGCATCACACCAGACATGACACTATACTCTATCAACCAAATTCGCTCAAAATCTAATGGTTTCTATTCCTCGGCAACCCCAATCATCCTGTGAAGTCAGATGTTGAATTACTTTTCTTGTTTGAAAGCTATCGTGTTAACAAATTTTTGCGTACAGGGTACAGCGTACAGGGTACAGGGTACATGGTACGCACATACATTCGGACATCGAAAAAACGCTAGATTCGTGTTCCCTGGCCCCAAGAACACCCAGAAAACACATTTTTGATGGGTGTTAATTTTTCGACCGATTCCAATACTTTACCTTACACACTAGGTGTGTGCGGAAAAGTAAAACAACACGAGCGCTCTAAAAAAAATTCCAACTAAAACAAGAAATGAATGTGATTTATTATCTATAAATGGGTGCCAGTGTTCTATTAAGTAACAAATCATTTCGTTTCGCCTATATAATAGCTGGTACGTTGATATTTATAAAGTACGCGTTGTTATTTCGATTCGGTGATAGAATTCGAACTGGGACATTTTTCACGTAATTTTCACAACAAAATCGTTCAAAAAGAAGCCGCACAGATAAATAAGATTGAACACATTTTCGTATACAGCAGAGATACTCCCAGTAACTTACTGGCAGTAAGTGATATATTTATTCCATTTTTCAATTGTTCTATCATGTTTAAAAGTTGTTGTTTTTTGTGTGCACTTGAACAGCGTGACAGTAGCACTTACTGAGTGTCGTTCTGAATGATATAATAAAGGGCAACACATATTCATAACAATACACTTTTGAGCATTGTTTAACAACCATCACGACCCCAAAAATCTCAATTTTTTTCTTCTCAGAGTCTCCTTCGTCATATACAGATAGCAGTGCATTTTTTTAAACTCAAATTTCAATCAGACAACTCGTGTGCCCTAAAAACTATTTTAAGGAGAAAGAAAACTGAACAAAGCAGAACAATCTTCTTATTCTACTGACCTGCATTACAATTCAAATGGAATTTTCCCTTATGCAATCTTGCTTCAAAATTCAATGTTGTCTTACCATTTTTCAATTATCTATGAACTGCTATCATTTTTGAATGATTGGACAATGACACAATACTTCAAACGTCTATCTGTTAAATTCTGCTTTACAGTAACATCTATTTCTGGTATATTTGTCTATTTCGGTTAGAATATTTTTAGAAGAAGCACGAGTAAAGATACTGGAAATACTTTTGCAAAAAATCAAAACAAAATTGAGAAAAAAAAAATTATCATCAGACTTATGTCTTCCTGTGTTTTTTTCTCTGAAAATTGTTATATTCGGATAAAACAAGTGACTATTTTTTTTGCAATAAATATGCTTTAGATTAACATACCTAGCGAAAAGATTCACTAGACACACATTTTTTTATTGAAAATTTTATTAATTTCATCATCGTCTCACGTAATAGCAAATTACATCTAAAATTAATTTGGGTGATTTTTTTATTGTAACAATTACGCGATGAAGTAATAGAAAACAATAATAACATTGTAGCAAGTGCATTGCACGCCGAACCGAATTTTTCATTAATGAATTATACGATTCTATTATCTTACGCTTAAGATCGTGATTTTTGTTTGTTATAATGCCATTTAATTCGTTTTCATATAATCGCATAATAAATGTGAGATATTTCAAACATATTAATTTTCAAATTCGTGATAATAATTTTGATAATTTAAAATGTAGTGTGTATACAATACAATGATCAAAATCATTTAAAGGGTAAATGGCTACACAAAAGTGACGTACAAATTATTTAATGTATTTTACCAGATGGACAAATAAATCAAGTGTCTGTAACAATGCTAGGAAGTTAAATTTGCATTGAACGGTGGCGACATCGATAATTTCTGTAAAGTAACGGCTTTTTGATCTGCATCAAAAATTTTCACAAAAAAATTTTTTTTTTCATAATTTTGATAACATAGGTGTTGAAGAGAATTTTTTAGAGAGGTAGGTGATGGCAAACCATAGAGAGTTCTCACAAGAATTTAGCTCAAAATTTCCTAGCAAATTGTATAAATATAAAATGTTGTGATAAATTCAGTCTGTGATCAGACGGTGAATAAATAAATAAATTGAAATATTTTCGCTCGGCAAAAAAAGTAAATGGAAAGAATTTGCCCCAAGAAAGTTTTTAGGGTCCAAAATGTTGTTTTAAAGGGGGAGGGGTAAACCGAACCCAAGGAACGTTTATTTTTGTGTTTTACATTGGAATTTTCGTTGAATTTTGCCGTTTTTTTTGTCTTGAAAAATCCAATTCACTGATGCAGTATGCGTCGTTATGTATTACAGAGATAATCAAATGAAATTGAAATCGGTTGGCAACAATCAGCGTTGTTTGTGAATACATAATCACAGAATTATTAAAACATCCCATTTATCTAATCACTGTTTGAAGCTTTATATATATATTCAATGTTTCTAAATAAAGTTTCAAATGAAAATCGACCAATCGTAGCAATCGATTTTTCATGGTCAATCTATCTTGATAGGTGGCGGCTCGTGTTAAAATTGTTTTTCTATTTTAATTCAAAAGTTCAATTCAAACATTAGTGTTTTATGACGGGATGAATGTAGATGCAAATGATTTGTTACGTTGGTCAACGAAAGCTATGCCATAGCTATAAGGTTCGTAGTGTTGTACAATGTTTTTTTTTCTTCTTTAAATACAGGCACAAATGAAATTTCTCATTTCACGCAAACATACTCATTATTGCGTGCGCAACAACAGCCCATTTGAATCGATTGATTATTAATGTTTTTTTATACAACAAATCAATTGCGGTCATCAATTTTATACCGCATCTTTCAAAACGGCACGAGTCGTGCGCGCAAGAGTAAGATATAGCAAAGAAAATATTGTCACTTGTGTACTTCAATACATTTCTTTGCACGATTAGTTCAATTCTGTTTTTCGGTTGATGTGCTATTGGCGTTGCTGTTGTTGTTGTGGTTGTTGTGGATGATTGCCGCATCGATCATGTATGAATAAAAACACCTATTTCAAGCCAAACCGATGTCAGTTTAATGAAAAATGTTGATCGGATAAGAAGTGTTTGCTCTTTTAATATCGCGTGCACTTCACAAATCATTTATATTGATCATTCGTACTACCAGAAGGAAGACAATTTCTAAATGGTGAAATTGTGTTTTAACTTAGTTTTTTTTGCAAATATAAAAAAAGTAGTCGGTCAAAATTATGAAATTAATTTGGTGTTGTTTGCGCAATTCAACAATGCAAATTTTAACAATGACATTCAATGAATTTGCTTTAATGTGGTGTATTAAGATGATTTGAAACAAAAAATTCCAAATAGAATTTTTTTCATAAAATGACAATAATAATTTGGAATCTCAGTTTATTTTCATTTTGACAAACAAATACCGGAATTCAATTCGTCTATATTTGATGTAAACAACAGTGCGTCCAGTGATATTTCTAGTTCTTAGTATTTTTAAATTAGTCGACAGTTAACACGTGTACGAGGACAAGATAATTTTTTTTTGTCAAATATTTATGTCTCGGTATCTTCCTGAGGTTAAATTTCGGTTATCAATCACATAAAACCATAAACAAAAATTTCACATCGGTAAATTTCAAAATAATTGCGTGACTCAAAGCGTTAAGATAAATTGAGGCTTGAGACTTTTTTTCTTCAAATTTCAATGCGTTTCATTTAATAATTGCTGTGTGCATTTTTTTTAATGTTTACATGTTATCTTAATTTGAAATGAATTCAGATGTAGGTTTGCACTGCGCGCACATAAATCTGTTAAATTGCATTTTATACTCGTATACTATGTAAGTTAATTGTTGACAAATGAATGTACTGTTTATGCTCTTTTTTATGAATGTATCACATCAAATAACTTATCTAATCATATCGACAGTTTCATTGGGCTTTTCATTTGGAAAATGAAATAATTGCAAAATATATCATTGTCCAAACGCGAATCAAAGATTGTTGGGATGGAAGTCTTATGGCGATTTGTGTGTGTGTGTAAAGTGTAAAAAAGTCAAGAACCTACAATTTCTTACATAATTATTTACACATGATTTAATTACGATTAAGTAACCGTTATTTCTCTCATGCGGCAAAAAAGATAACAAAAACTTACACAAAATAGAACTTCTACGTTTTTTGTATGAACTGGATCGTTTAAAATGCATTAAGCGCTGCAACTCCGAAATGACATAGTTTGTTTTCTCATAATTAACCAATGACAAACCGTCCAATGAGAACGGGAAAATAAACAAAACGTTTTTATTTCGATTGTATTAAAACACCAAATTCAACAAAATGATTATTGTTTATTTAATTGTATTTTTTATTTTATTTCAATCCAATTTGATAAATACCGGTAGCGAGTACAATAAATTTATTGTTTTAATTTCAGAAATATCTCACTGAAGCAAGTACGTAAACAATCAGTTGATATTCAAGTTGAATAATTCTGGAATAACAAGTTAGCTTGTTGTTTGCAGAAGACAAGTAACGCATACATAAATTGTAAACCGAAACGTTTGACAAAATGTGGGCACATTCAATGAATCAATATGTGTACTTAGTGGTGATGCTATCATTTGGATTTTTGAATGCATCAAATCCAACTGTAATTTCTTCTTCAAATGCACCAACAACGTCTTTAAATGATGTTGAGCCTCTAACGGAACTCTCACCGCCACTAACTGAGGACAATTTTACAAGTGTGTTTCCAATTGTATGTACGCTTGATGGTTGTGTAGAAGGTCGAGCAACACCTGGTTTTCAAATCGATGAATATGAATCTTTCTTCGGCATTCCGTATGCGGAGGCACCAGTTGGAAAATTACGTTTTGCGGTGAGAAATTTACACTTTTTTATTCATCATCATCATTTTTCTATGAAGTACACTATGCAACGACACATATTATTATTGAATAACATACATTTACCATTATATTTTGTAAACATTGTCGTAACTAGTTTTTATTTGTTTCCCGACCCATATCTTCCTCATCTTTAAAATTTAATCATTATTACTATTATTGCCAATTTTGTCTGTTATTTCTTCCTATTTTTTTCCATTTTCCTCTTGCATCTGTAAATTTGTGTGTAGTACAAATGGTTAATGAAGCAATCGATTTTAACGAAAAGTTTCATAAAAATTAATGGTTTACATGAAGTATCATAATCAATGATTTAAATGGATTATTAAAATGAAATTCGAATTTATGGGTAGTCGTAAAAAATGGGTTGTGCAATCAATGGCTCTTCAATAGTTTTACGTTGTTTTATTACACGACAGCCACTTGTGCGAAAGTGAAAGATTAGAGAAATTCAGTAAACATCCATTGTGTGTACATCTTTTCGTCTATTTTTATGATCAAAAGCATTGTTTTGCGTAAAATCAGTGAATGATTTATTTTTGGAAGCTGAATTCGATTTCAATTTGAAAATTAAAAATAACCGGAACTGAATCTTCAACGATACATGAGTTTACGCAAAACACAAAAGCAATAATGATAAAAATGTCTTGTTTCATTCGCTTTCAATTAAAATTCCCTTTCTCTTTTACATTTTACATTGGCATCAGAGCAAAGCCATCGCTTAAATTCTGTAATATTTCTTTGTTGTGTGCGCCTTATGATGAAATCACACAGATCAATAACCCCACATGAAATTTGCGACTAATCACAATTTACTTTTGTTTTTGCTTGAATGAAACGTAACATAATGCGAAGCTTCTGTAACCAGTACGACAGCTATTATCGATTTGAATTGCTTACTCTTTTTTTTATACAATGTGTGTTATGTACACCGTTTTTGTTTTCGTTTTTGTTTTTGTCGATTTAATCGCTTTTTCTTTTTTTATTTTCAAATGAACTTTACAACAACATTTCATTTCGAATACACAGAATCCAGTGCCGAAAAAACCCTGGTCAGGCTTACTTAATGGAAAAATGGAACGTGCAGCTGGTTGCGCACAAATAAATGTCTTAATTCCAAATGGAAAATTCGAGGGTGAAGAAGACTGTCTGTTTTTGAACATTTATCGACCGACTGTAAGTTTAATTTGTTACGAAAAAGAAAACGAATTTTAAAATAATTAGGAAATAAACGACATTTTACTTATTCGAACTAAATTGACGCAATGAACTCGCTTATTGAGTTGAATTGTCAGAAATTATGTCCATCTGTCGTAACTGGTGGAATATTTTGTCACAATTTATTGATAAATCAAATAAAATTACAATGTCAGTCCAAATAAAATCGCAAAATTGATGATGGCTTCGTTTTTTTGCAGAATACATCGGCGAAAAAAAATTCGTCACTGCCAGTAATTGTTTATATTCATGAGGGTGGATTTTTCTCCGGTTCGATTCATACACTTTTCCGTGGACCACACTATTTCATGGATACTCAGCAAGTTATCATGGTTTTGATGACATATCGTCTTGGTGTGCTTGGTACGTACCACATTTACATAATTAACATATCCATGAAAATTTAGTATAATGTAAATCAAACTGTCTCTTTTTTGCTTCCCTCTCACTCCCTTGCTTGCGGTCATAACATCGTTTTGATCAAATACATTAAAAATAATAGGTTTTTTATCGACGGGGGATCAGGCTAGTCCTGGAAACTTCGGACTTAAGGATCAAACATTGGCGTTAAAATGGATAAAACGAAATATCAAGGCATTCGGCGGAGACGCCGAAAACATTACAATTATGGGAGCATCGGCTGGTGGTGCATCGGTTCATATGCATATGATGAGTCCGCTTTCGGAAGGCTTATTTCATCGATGCATTGTTATGAGTGGATTGGCAACGGCTCCCTATAACGAACCGACACCAAATCCATTGGCACTTGCAAAACGACAGGCCGAAGTGATTGGCATTGAAAATATAGACAACCTAAGCACATATGAATTGGTTGAGAAACTTCGAGAAATTGATGTATCTGTTCTGGTCAATAGTATTGGCGATTTAAAAATCTGGTCAGTCGATCCAATCACTTTGTATCGTCCTGTTATCGAACCGAAAGCAGATGGAGCGTTTATGACAGAGCATCCTGCATCCATTTGGGCACGTGGTTCATTTAAACAAGTTCCATGGATGACGGGAATCGTACCAAATGAAGGAAGTGTTCGAGCAGCAGGTAAAACTATTAATTGATAAATGAAAATGAAAGTGGTAAATTTCAATTGTTAATTTACCACCATTTTTTTGTAGCTATATTGACTAATAAAGAGCTTATGGAAGATTTGAATGCCAATCTTGATAAATTGCTGCCAAAATTGATGGAATTAACAAATGACCCGGATAAACTGCCCATCATTACAAAACGCTTGAAGGAATTCTATTTAAATGGGAGTAACACAATAAAAGACTCAAATAGCCAAGGATTTATAAATGTAAGAGTTATTATTAGGTTTGTGAACATTTCTATTTATTTCTATTCATTTTTTATTCAGTTATACACCGATCGAGGTTTTCATCATCCATACTATAAAGCTCTAGAATCTTATTTAAAATATGCGAATACCACAAGGAATCCAGTTTATCTGTATAAGTTCGCTTATAAGGGATCTTTATCTTATTCTCGCGTTTTTACCGGCACCGATAAAGATTTTGGCGTCGGGCATATTGATGATCTAATCTATCTTTTCAAATCACCGATATTATTCCGAGAATTTGCAACCGGTTCGGATTCGGCTCAGGTTAGCTCATCTTACATTCCAGCGAACTCAATTTTATTGCATGCTCGTTTTCTTATAACGTTTCTTTGAAATCAATTTGCATGACATAGTTTTTTTTATTTGATTTCTAGATGGTTCGATCATTAGTCAGCACATACGTGCAGTTCGCCAAACACGGGTACAATTAAATTGAATTTTATTTGAAAAATATTATTGAAATTTAAATGGAGTCATTTCATTTTTCTTTTATAGTCGACCGGTATCATGGAACGAAGTGCATGAATGCAAACGATTTCATCATGGCAATATTTGTGACTATCAAGAGTTTCGCAATTTGAATGGCGATTTTAAAACGAGCAAATTTGAAGTTCGTACAAATAACGATTTCAATTTGGCAATGGTTCGTTTCTGGGATGAAATACTAAGTATTTGAAACTGGAAACGTTTGTTTCATACGTTACCTTTTTACGTCTTAATTTTTACATTTTCATAAAACATCATTTAATTTAAGTATTATTCCGTTCTCTTTCAACTTCTTTGCACATTTCATCATCGGATTGATTGACGTTGAGGAAAAAAAAATCATTTATTCATTTAAAATTGAACATTTTTCTTTTGTTGCTGTTTGTGTAAGATCGAGTTTTAAATTAAGTAAAAAAAAAATAAAGGATTCATTTATGTAATCCAACGGTTCGAACGTAAACACGAATTATTTTAATGCCAATTTACACTTATAATCAGTGCACTGCAGAATTTGAGATTGCATTCGAATTGTCTTAGATATGTCATGAAAGGAAATAAAACAAATATTTTTGAAAGTCATTGGTGTTTTTTTTTCTCAATCGATTTGAATCATATTTAAATATATTGACTGAAATGGTTTTAATGTCTCTCGTCCCTGAATCTTTGATGAACCTACCTTGAATATTCCACAGAATTTTTTTTAAATAAAAAAACCTTATCTATTTCCGCAGGAGAATGCCTTTTTATTTATTGATTTATTACATTTAAATATTTACTTAGTGAACAAGGTTTTTTGCTTCGGTTTTTTTTGCTGTGAGTCAATTGTGCGACTAGATTTACGAATATTTTGATCATTCGACTAAAATCAATGTGCAATGAGATCTAATCTAATTTATGCAAAAAAAAGTTCACTTACTTTTGAATTCAAACCAATTTAAATAGCAGACTGTAGCTTTTTCAATGTATTCAATTTAATAGCAGTTTATTTATCGGTTTTACATTGTAACGGAAATTAATCATCATCTCATTTTGATGTTTGTTCAACATTAATTCCAGTTGCGTGATATTATTTCATTCCATTCAACTGAAATCAATTGTTTTTTAATCATAAAAAGTGTAAACGTGCACTGCAAATCCCAACCTCATGCATTTATTTCATGCAAATGTTCAACAATTTGTTTAGTTGCTGTTGAATATTTCCATAACTCAAACATGTTCGAACAAAGTCGCAAAAGTAGTCGCGTTATGCCACCTGTTATTGACACGTTGAAACCCCTAAACTTATAGAACTTCAGCTATATAAGCACATATTTCAGCAGTATACACAGAAAAAATATGCAAGGAAAACAAGATGACGTGCCGCATAAATTGTATTTGTCCATATGATTTTCAAAACTATACAAAAGCGTGACGTTTCAAACGTATCGGTAATAGATGGTATAACAATTTAGAAATGCCAACGTATTTGAGATATGAATATTTGAAGAAATTCTTTTTTATAGTATAGGCTGTATTTTGTTGTGTTAATCGAAATAGGCACAAAATTAAAATACATGGCTCACTGCTATTACTTTCACGGATGGTTTAGACATCAGTCTGTTCAAATTTTTCAACTTTTTTCGCTAATAAACGGGAGACATGTGTGAAATAAGTTTGGTCAAATCTTAAGTGTACACCATCAATCAGTTGCGACAGTATTTTTGCCGCTTAAACTAAATAACAACAATATTAGAAAGCATGAGCTAGCATCGCATGATGTTACAAAAACACTGAAGCAATTGATTGATGATGTTAATTTTCTTAGAAATGGACCGTTGGAAGGAGGACTTTCTCAGTCTGTACCAAGATCTGTACTTATTTGGAGGAATAACATTTCCATCTTCGATATTAGAGTTTATCGTTTATACTATATGTATTATTGTACGTGTTAACAACTGTTGTAACTCTTTCAAATAGGAGCTCAGCACCAACATCGGTGGCTAATTAGTATGTGTGCAATTAACGCAATTATTTTTGGATGAGTGTCCTTCTTATTCTCGCCCATACAAATAATAAAAAAGCATCTATAATTGAGTTGTAATATTCGGAAAATGGAAGTTTAATAAAGATTCTAGTGGATTGTTGTATATAAGTAACGCATGGAGAGTACATCAAGAAGAGTTTAAGAGGATATGAGAGAGGGACAAAATTGTATAGTTCAAAATATTGATGAATTTGTTAATCTTTCGTTCACTATCTGTAAAATGTAAGATGAATACTAAAAACATTGTGACGCTACGTGCTTTTTTAAAAATCTATCATTGTAGTGCAGAATTTTACGCAACATTTTTTTCTCTCTTCAAAACAGTGCTTGCATTTACATTATCCATATATATCATCCATATTTTATTGTTTCTGTTTCGCAAAATGTTATGTATCTAAAAAGGTAAACAATTTTTCAAATTGCTGCTTGATTTGACAGCTTTGTACTTTAATCTATTCTACGATCCCAATATGCACAGTGACATTTATAATGTTTTAACACTTTTATAATAAAAGTTTGTAGTTTCTTTTTTTTTTTTTTGTATATGAATTTAATTATTTGACTTATTTAGTTAAACACATATTATACGTATATGTTGAATGTTACACACATAGCTCCACTATGAAAACGAAATTTTTTTATTGTTTTTTAGACACAAAGACATAATACTGTCAAAGGACAGTTTCCAATTTGAAAATTTGGGGACCTATATAGCTCTAATAAAGTATTGTCTTCTTCTATTTTGGTTTAAGCAGAATTCATTTAAAATCATTCTTTTGGCTCAATTTGTGTTGTTTGTTAAAAATTAAAATTAAATATCGTTTGGGTTGCGGTGGTGCTTTCGCCTTATTGTCCAATGTGTTGATGCGCATCAAAAGCCATACGATACGGTTTATGAATGCAAGAATTGTGTTATGATTGGAAAAAAATAATCAACTATAATTGAATCGGTCACAATTTTCGTGACGTCAGGAAATTAGTTAAAATAAAAGATCAACATGTTTCTCGAAGACACGAATATCCTAGATGATTCAATTATCGTCCACATTGAATTGAATTCGTTTTTGTTTTTCAGATTAATTTCTTGACATAAATTTTAAAAAATGATTCAAAATTGCGTTAAAAGAAAATTAAAATTTTCCTTCAAAAATTCTGGTAGCAGAGAGTCCACCAAATAAAGAAGATGGCAGATGACACTGTCATTGGTACTTGACGCAAAGAACCACGCGAAGAACCATTTACACTGTCACATTGTATACAATAGGTTATAGCTGTGAACAGAGTATTGCTCAGCGCTGCTGCCACCCACAGCATATTGAAATATCTTGCTGACAATGCGTCGTCCGTCGCATGCGAAGGTACGTGCCAGTTTGTACATCACAGTGAACAAGAATGTATACATTGTTCTCTTCACGATTATGTGACTCAAAACATTCAAACGATTGATTAGAGAACAATGCATGTATTGTTGTTCGCTGTTATATAAAACTTCTACCTACCTTCGCATGCGACAGACGACGCATTCTCAGCAAGATATTTTAATATGCTGTGGATGGCAGCAGCGCTGAGCAAAACTCTGGCTGTGAATATATTTCATACGTACGTTTTACAGTGGATTTGAGCGCCTGGTTCTTTACTAGACATTCAAGCAGTTGATATACTAGAATAATAAACATTTCAAACATGTTTCGGCTGGTTAGTTTTTCGATTATGTCAAAATATTTTCGGCAAACGGTTGCAAACATTTCATTTTTTTCAGGTAATTTTCATTAACCATTTGCATTACAATTTATTACTTCCAAAAATTTCTTGGCAACGAGTCAAAAGAAATTGCGTTTGGCTAGACCTGACATGAATGATTTTTAAATGAAACGTTGTGGTAAATGTTGTTCGTGACGTAAAATTTAACCACAACCGTTTTGTAATATTTTTTTAAATTAAATAACAACCATTATTTTTGTGGGTCTATATTTAGGTATAGACGATATATAAAAAACAAGTTATCCATTCCGAGGTATCATTAAATTATTGGGAGCATCATTTTGAGCATATGGATGTAATATAGACCATTCAAAATCTAATTTATAACAAACGCTATGTGTTCTTTTTGCTGGTAAATTTCACAATAATACAATAAAACATTGACTACGTTAGACGCTTTTCATCACTCTAAAAATATATATTTATATATATTATTCTCAACATTTTAACAATAATTGCTCAATTTTTTGGCTTTGGCATTAATTTTTGATATAAATAAATATTTCTTTTCAATTTTCATTTGGATTTTTTTTGTATACATAACTGTTCATTCTCTGATTTAGGATATATGAATACATTTTACTATATTATTTCTCTATTGGCACTATCGTTTCGGTTTTAAATGAATTTGGCATGATGTATGTATATATATATTATTATTTTTTCTAAGAAGCATTCGATCATTTTCTCTTTTAACTTCACAAATTTGATCAAAAACATCAAAAACCTTTAGTTAAATTATTTCTATGTTTGGCATCAGGTAATATGTACGCAAAATTAGTTGCACTCTTTTAAAAAGACACACAGAAATAGTTCTGCATGCATAAATATGTGCTTATTATTTGATGAGAATGAGTAAATATTATGTCCGGACCAAAGCCGTCATTTTCTATCTCTGATATTATACTATATTTTAAATGTTATTGCTCTGACAAAACGAAATGAAATTCCAACTTTTGGTTGATATGAAAAATTCTTTCTAAAAAAAACATAAATTTCAAAGAAGTGCCCTTCATGCATGGATCAACGACTTTTTAAAAAAAAAGTAGAACATTTTCGATTTGCATGTTAAATACGATGAGCAATGCAATTACATGATTTTGATACTGAATTTAAATAGTACCAACGCATTGGTATGCGTCAATGTTGAAATAGTCAGTCAATTTGAAAACTTGCTGAACCTACTACAGTAGTTTTGATACATTCTAAGTGGAATGCTTTGTCATGTTACCTATCGGAATCTAGTATTAAAAAAACTTGCGAAATTCGGCATATTTTATGCTGCTATTGAACGTATTTTCATCATTTACGCTTTCCAATATTGATTGGTCGGAAAAGATATAAATTTTCCATGAATTCAGTACCAAAATGTATCTGCCAAAATTTAAAAATGCAAATCAGCAGATAGAAAAATAAAACCAAAATACAAAAATATCGATATTTAAAATATTTCGTAAATTTTAAAAATTTAAATTAATAATAATTTAGTATCTAATTGAATTCAATTAAAATATACGGTTTGTCATATGCATAATATTCAGGGTAAGACAAGCTCTCACAACGATTCATCGTCCATTTTAAAAATGGATTTCATAAAAAATAAAATTGGTTGATTTAATTTTTGGCCGATTGAGAAGCAGCCTGTCGTCGTAGGTCCGACTTAATCACAGCAGTTACGATTGTGCCAATGCACAACATGATCGCCATTGTAATATTAGCTCCAGTATCACCGAATCTGTCGAACAGTTCGGCATAAAGCATCGTAAATAAAATGCCAAATATTTGCGCGGCAGCATTTAGCAAACCGGCTGATGTTCCTTCTGGTTCTGGATACGTTAGTTCTGCAGCAAATTCAAAGCCCACAGGCAAATAGCCTGTCATAAAGAAACTGAACGAAAACAAGTGTCACAAACAATAAACACAAATTGGTGAACTGTCAAATGAAGAGTACTTGATTCTCACCCAAGTAACGATGATGTCACATACACCACTGAAATATGTCCAACGTTAAGTGTAAACGTATATATCCACATACCGATCATCGAAAATGTGTATACCGATAATGTTGTTTCTCTGTCAAAATATCGAATTTCATAAAATCGTGGGTTTTTTCTTTCGCAAGCAAAGCGCTTTTTCACACAAACACATCAATTGAATACTCACTTGAAACGATGGGTTTTATCTAAAACAATGCCACAACAAACGGATCCCAGCATTCCGGCCAATACAATACACAATCCAATTCGTCCAGCATCCATTTCATGATTTGGATAATATAAGAGTACAATCTATTTACATAAAATATAAAGGAAAACAAAACAAAACATAAAGTCACAATGCGAATAGATGAATCATTTTTGAGTTTTATAAGCGGTCGGATGTTGATTCTTTATGGCGTTCTTGGATTCAAGTCAAGCCAAAACATGAATCTGCGTCGAGTTTAACTGATAAGCAGCAATTGCAATAAAAAATTTGCTTGAATTTCATTTGCATACTCACCCGATTGAGAAGAGTCGAGATGGCATAGAACACCCCCACATTCATTCCATACGAAATAAGCAATAGAATGTAGTTTCCGTTTAAGAATAAGCGTTTGATGGAATGTAAGAATGGTGATGATTCAAGGGGTGATTGCGTTGCCTCTTGCGCAGCTGATGGCGGTGTTGGTGGTTGAGCTTGGAAAACTGTTGGTTCAGCATAAAATTTCATTTAAAATAGACGCGACAAATAACGCATTTCATGAAATGAATAAAATGAACGATTATGTCGTTTGTAAACAGTTTATTGTTGCTTTTCGGGTAGATTTTTTTTGGGTTAAAATATGCTCTTAAAACTTACACAGTACAACAAGCGTAACAAGCAAAGTGGTAAAACCGGCTATCATATAGAACATCAATTGAAAATCTTTTCCAATCAATTCAAGGTCATCGTGGTTTTGTACAATCAACGGTGGCAATAAGAAGCCCAATGCAACGCCCAACTGTAAACGAAATCGAAATAGTCTTATTTCACAGATTTATTCATTTCTGTGGTTGAAAATGTGTTTCATAAAATGGAATTGCTGACGTGATGTTTAGCGAAGAGTGAAAGATCGCATTGGAGTTTCACCACAACAGATGAATGTATTAAGAGTACTTTGATTCGCATGTACTCACACGCACACATTCCTACAATATAAATGGGTTTTAAAATATGTAGTCGCTCTGCAAACTCACATTATACTTTATCCATTTAAACGATTAACAGTAACAACAACTCGATACATATTATAAATATAAGTCATGATATAAGTATATCGAAATAATCATCATCCATCATGAATGTATTCAATATTTCGACAAACGTCCGTATGAAAGTCTTAGCTATTTTCTCTATATAGTCAAAGGGAAAATCCTATTTTGGGAAAGTAGAAAGCATGTTAGTTTAATTTTTGGTTTTTCGTTTGTTTTGGATAACACCAACTATCATTCAGTTTCTTCGAGAATTTATAAAAAAGACAAACTTTCGTATTTTTATGATTAAATTGGTATCGTTCGTTTGTAATATTTCTGATGAAGATGACCAGCTCAAAGGTATCAATTTTATTGTATTTTTTCTTTGAAGTTTTCTCTCTTTTTTTATATTTCTGATAAAGAAAAAGTGAGTGAAAAATATTCTCAAGTCTTTTTCTGTTTAAGATCGACTTTTATTTGGAATTATGAAACTTAGAAAAAAAATGCGGTGAACATACGAAGACGATTATTTACAATTTAATCCGATGTATTCAGTTGAATGTATAGTTCACAGGGCCAGATACACCCAAAATCTATTCCTGAGTTGCTCATTTTTCTCAATTTTCACATGCTCCAATGATTTCACACACATACGATTGTGAACATTTTTTTTTTGTAAGTTTAAATGAAGCAAACACACTGATAAGGATATCATTATTCCCATGGCGTGCATTTTCATCGTGTCATGATGGAGCAAAGAATCGTTATTCCACTTATGAGGTATTTCTATCTATTTTAAAATCTGCACAGTGGAACGTAACATGTTTCATCATGGAGCAGAGAAACTTTCCAAATCGGCTTATTCGCATTTTTCATGACGACGATTCCACCTAAAAATATGCTTATCTTGATTCAATGCACGCATCTTATAAAAAAATGTGATTTTCAATTATAAATTCTACGAATCTCATACACTGCCTAGAGACATTTCGGCAAGTGAAAGATCCCGTTATTCATTCAATTTAAATCAATATTATTAATTAGAATGAATCGATAATAGCGTTTAAGGACTAAAAATCCTCTTCTTTCCGGGAAGGTTTTTTGAAATACGCATTTATCTACTGAACACTCTGGATTTTTTTATCATGGAAAAAATGATTTGTATAAAAACAAAACCTATGTGGGTGTTTTATATTGAAGCAGACTGAGAAAATTCTCTCCAAAAACATTAACACTTTCGCTTTTGCCAATGTATATAAACAATTAGAAAATCCAATTTACTTTAATTCTAATCATACCTTGAGTGCCGTATAAAACGTATACAACTCGTAAACAGTGTACTTTGTGTGAGGCATGAACATGAATCAATAAAAGTTACACTTCAGAATTGTTTATATTTACTTTCGGAAAAGCCTAAATGAAAGCTTCGCTGCTGTGTTGGATAGCGTAGAATGTTTATTCAAGATGTCGTCGAAGCGAATGAATATTGTAACATCATTTAAATATACAATAACGATCTTCCACAAGAATTCGAATGCTCAATATTCCGTATTTTAATTTGACTTTATAACAAGAAAACGAATCAAAATATATAAAAAAACGCTTTGTACAATTTCGATTGAATCCAATATGGGGAGAACATTGTTTACGTTGTTTTTTATTTATAAAAGATTTACAAATTGGATGTCGATTTGTTTGTTTTACACCCGAGTTAGAATTTAAAGGATCTAGTACTATCTGTCAAAATATTTCCCCCTATGCCAAGCGAAATTAATTCGATATACGGCGCTGATGTAAATGTCACTCTGTCATTTCACAATAATACTTTTTTGGCTTGACAATATATAAGCTCTTCATTTAAAATGCATACACATTCATAATTATTGAATCGTTGAAAAAAATATGTCATAAAATATTTTTCTAACATTTTTCATTAAATAATTAAATAATTAATTTGTTTATAAATGACAATAATTTCAACAAAAAATGTTTCATCGATTAAATAAGAATCCAATGTAAATAGTAATGATAATGCGACACCTACCGTAAAAATGCAAAAAGAGACTTAGTTGGTCTCCATTGTAGCATTTTGGTCCGCCATGACAGCATCTTCGTTTTACTTGACCAATCACAGAGAAGCAAAACGAAGATGCTGTTATGGCGGACCAAAATGTTACAATTCCAAATAAGTTTCGTTTTCTATTTTAACGGTGGGTGTCGCATTGGTATTACTTTTTACATTAGATTCTTGTTCAATAAATTTAAAATATAGAGAATTTTTATGATAAACGTAAGAAGAATATTTTATGATATGTTTCTTTTTTTACTCGACCGTTCAAAAATTATGCATGTTGAATGAAGAGCTTATATATTGTCAAGCCAAAAAATGTATCATTGTGGAATGACATAGAGTGACATTTACATCAGCGCCGTATATCGGATTTATTTCGCTTAGCAAAGGGGGAAACGTCGTACTCGCTCCTTTACAAAGATGCTTTCTAATTTATTTTTTGTCATTTGAATGATAAGAATAATTTAAAAAAGACAATATATTGGGCTGAATATTCATTTGAAATTAAACGAAATAGCACGCGATTAAACGATAAAACAATAGAAGGGATTGTTATGATTATTGTACCAACGTAAGTGTTTTATAACCACAACAATCACCTCTATTGTTTTATCAAGATTAGCGTGCTATTTCGTTTCATTTCAAATAAATAATCAGCTCAATATATTGCCTGATTTAAAATATATACAAACGGCACTATTTCCGAATCATGGTCGTGTCCATGATATAAATGGATTAGATACTTTTACGAAGTAAATTCTCGTTTATCAGGTTTAAAATGGAAGTGCTTGCCCGTGTTTCGTTTCGGTTTTGTGTTCATTGTATAAATTGTGGCGTAAACTTTGTGAGTTTTATTAAAAAAGTTTGATAAATATTTTGACTTTCAACACATTTGTATCAATAAGTTGGAAAATGTTAGAGTATTGAAGTGCACATGCATTTTCATGCTCTGGAATATGTAACACAACTTTTAGCCATAACTCACATTTCACCGAAGTCCCCAGTTCATTTTCTCAATATATGGTTGATGCGAATACAAAACTGATACCTCTTTTGCAATTTGTTCAGAACAGTGAAATCGCTGTTCAAATTTGAATCTGTTTCTTTCCACGTTCGGTTTTTGATAAATTGAAATAATTGTTATGTATTTTCTTACTGAAGCAGTTTCCATTTGTAGTTCAAACTTTCTAACAGTTGTTTATCGGCGATTGGTTTTCATTAAATGACAAACCATTTTATTTGTTATAACCGAAAAAGTTTGCTTTGTCTCACATTTGAATCGTTGCGGAGAAAAAGTAGCTCTTATTTTTCTCCGCAACGATTCATTTCAAGTAGTTTTCTATAATGATAACAAAATACTCACTCTTGAGCTCTAGTAAATATTTGGATTAAATATATTTTACGTGCTTTTAGTAAAATAATATGTGGTCGCACCATTTCAAGTTCTTTATGACGAAGGAAAGAGAACCATTTGTGTCATCCCCTCTAGAAATTTATCAAAAATAATTTTGGAATTGCATTCCCTGGATCGTCCCCTAGATTATTACAAATTATAGATAAAACCAGGCGTTTTTGCATCCTTAACACAGGCTTAACACCTGTTCTTTTTGTAATTTTCTCTTCTGTTCTATGTTTTCCATTAAAAATAAGAACAATGCAGTTACAAACAAACGTAATATACTGAGCTGAAATCGAAAAGAGCATATTTCAATACGTGATCCATAAAATTGAATGAACGCACTCAAACTCGGTAAAAAGTTTCAATCGAATAATGGTATGATGATGAAAAAGAACGAATCAGAAAGAGATGAGAGATACTTTATTATATCACTACGAATTTGATGAGTCGCGTCAACTGGCAAATCAAAGCTTTAAATCCATTCTACGTTTGCATCACACGGCAAATTAAAATAGAACATCGTACGCCACAATATTTAAGCTATCATTTCGTAGAAAATAAAAGTGACTCGCGTGAGAATGTGAAAACATAAAAATGAAAGCGTCACCCCATTGCAAATGCCTGCTCTGCTGTTCCGACATCCAAATTCATTTAGTTGGAAACTGTGAAATTTAAAACACACACACACACTCACATACATACACAGCAGATTACGCTTATATTTTCAGTTTAATTTGAGTTTGTGTACATGCTTTATGCTTTTAAAGATAGGCACCAAGCATTTTTGCAGGTAAATGCGAGCATATCTACATTTCTACAACTGCTTTGAAAACAATTCAACGTAAGTGTTGTGTAATATAGTGTCATTTTTTTCTTCTCCCTTCTCAAATTGAATTACACACTTGCGGATAGCTCTCAACATTTACCCAGTTTGTATTTGATAAGCTTCGATGGCACACAGTCTGCTAACTGCTAACAGTTAACATAAAACAAAACCAGCCGCTATGCTTTTATTGCAGTGATATCTGAGCGGCAGCCAAAACACAGCGTTCAACAGTGAGACGAAGCGAAATTAAAGTATTTTTCTCTTTCATTATATGTGGTTGACAATACGTTTGTATGGCGTGTATTGGTCGTGTGCACAACAAACCACTGATAGCAAAAGGTGTATGGTGTGTGTGTGAGTGTGTATTGCGAATTTTGCAGCTTTAAGTGCATTCAATCTTCTCCAATTTGATATAAATAGACGATAGGAAATTCAATTGAATACCATCATTTGCATATCGAACGCCGAGCAT